TGTGCGGGAGGATGAAAACGCATCTCTCCCGCGCAAAGTACATCCGAGACGGCGAGGCGGGCAAGAGTTAATACCTCACCAGCATCGTTCCCGCCGAAAATCATCGCGGAACGAGGCGTGAGAAAACGATTAGGCCCGGCAAGGCCGCTCTCTCGTCGAGGGCACCCGCCGATACATTATAATGCGTATTTATGCGTTCGATGCGCGCGCGCGCACGTATGCGTCGCACGCGTGTGCGGCTGGTGCGAAAAAAAGAGAAAAGAATACATGGCGCGAGATAGAACCGAGAGGTAGGAGATACAGAGAGATGGGAACACGAAAGGGAGACAGAGAAGGAGCAAGAGGCGCGGATGCAGGACAGACTGCAACCGCTCGAGGGTGGGGGTGGATGCAGCGTGGCGGGTGGAGGAACGTCTTCCCCGAGAGCCTCGTAAAATGGAAATCAATTACATCTACACTTAACCACTTAAACTGGTTTCGCCACGGTCCTAAAGCTCGATCCGCTCTCCTCTCTCTCTCTCTCTCTCTCTCTCTCTTTTTTTATCTCTTCTTCTTATTCATCGCGTGGAGATGAGCAATGCGCGCGGATGGATGCACGAAAAAGAACGTACACGCGGGAGAGGACGGAAGAGGAGAGGACAAAACGAGGGGAGAAAAGTATCGATGAGGAAGAAAGGCAAAAGGAGAGAGAGAAGGAGAGAAAAGAAATGTGAGAAGCACGTATAGAGCAGCCGGTGAGCATCGCTAGAGGCCTCGCTCTCTCCTCCTCCACCTTCCGCTCGTACTCTTCTTCTTCTCTTCCTCCTGTTGCTCTTCGTCGGTCTGCGGCGAGCCGCAGATCATTCGTATCAACATAATTACAAGCTCGGGAGCCGCCTCTCTGTTTCTCTCACCTCGCTCCACCCATCACGACGTAACACACGATCGCTTTCGCGCCCCGGTGAAACCTTCGTCGTCGTCTTCTTCTTCTTCTTCTTCTTTGCTCCGTCTTCTGCTTCTTTCGCGTTTCTTCTGACCGTGGATTCCTGATCGTTGCTGCCGCCGCCGCGATCTTTGTCGCGGATTCAACGAGTTCTTAAATAACTTTCGAATAATCGCTGAATGTCTTTAATATGATCGGTAATCAGCGAGATAACTCAGATGTTAATGAATAAAAAAAGGAATCATTTTAAAATCTTTTTAAGAGAGGTGCTCATTTAATGAATATTAAGAAAAATATATCGAGACTATTATATATCTTTCGGTATTTAAAAGATATGAAATCTGTTGGGAAATAGAATTGGAAATAAAATTTTATTAAGCGTATTATTATATATAATTCTCCCTCTTTTTCAAATTTTGTCATTTTATGCTACTATTTCCACATTTTCTCAGTAATCCTCTTAATATTTTACATATATAATTCGCATATATAATAAAAATATACATATATAACTATATATAACTATATATATAATTAATACGAAATAAAAAATAATATATACTGTGCTCATTTAAATTATATTTTACCTGTCTTTACAAATTGAATTGAGCTTTTGTCACTAAGTGTCATCGCACATAACATGTAGTTATATATATATATTTTTATTATATATGCGAATTATATACGTAAAATATTAAGAGGCTTACTGAGAAAATGTGGAAATAGTAGCATAAAATGGCAAAATTTGAAAAAGAGGGAGAATTATATATAATAATATGTTTAATAAAATTTTATTTCCAATTCTGTTTCCCAACAGATTTCATATCTTTGCATAAAGCATTCCGTACTTTCCTATGTATTGGTGCATTAGCCATTTATATCTCGTTTTAACCAAAGGGCTAAAGGGCGTCGCGTGTTGTCGCAGTTGTTGCGCTCGATGGCGCGCAACAGTTGACGCAAGTGACCCGGTGCATTGCGTCTAACGATGCGAGGCAGCCATCGCCATGACGAAAAGGACCGGCAGCAGAGCAAAGTGCGGCAATAGCAACGTATTCTTGCAGGGAGAAAACGAAGGAGAGAGAAAGAAAGAGAGAGAGAGGTGTTAGTCATGGAACGAACCAAAGCCTTAAAGCGGCCGCATCTGAGAATAATTGCTCGTTGACAGGCCGTGAAATGAATTTATTTAATTTCAAATAGAGGTATAACAGAATTACACGGCAGTTGAAGGTGCAATGAAGCTTGGGAGACGTATACCGGGTAAAGAAAGGGGTGATGGGACTGGCGCGAGATTGTTGGACTCGCGAAATGGATGCAAAATTATGCGAATTTGCGTTTTCGATCGTAGAAAAGACGATGAAAAGAATATTCGCGTTTTTTTTCCGGTAAAAATGATTTTCAAAAGAAAAAATTTTGCTTATTATTATAGTTTTTCAACTTCAAGATGTGGTCCTTCAAATAAAAAATCATAAAAAAATTTTTTTCATATCAAATCTCATATCATATCTATTATTAAATTTTGTTAAATTAATTTCAATTAGTTTTACATCTATTATTAAATTTTTTATTATTGTAATTATTTATTATAATTATCTTCATTTATAATTATTTAATTCATTATAATTATTTTCTTTTATTTATTTAAATTAATTATGTTCTGTAATTGTTTAGATTTTGCATGCATTGTTTATTATTACGGAGCTTATTACAGAGACATATCACTTCACAGAGACATTAATAATAAATTTAAAAAAGCAAAACAATTAATATAATAAAACCTCTTTATATCGATTATTTATAATAATCTTTCACATATATAATATTTGTTGGGATTTAAATCAAGAATTCAATCTCAATTAAACAATTCCTCGATAACGACAAATAATTTATTTATAAGATACAAAGAATATATAAATAATACGAAGGAAGTAGATTGCGAAAATGATAGCGCGCGAAAGAAACGCGAGTGAATGATCTGAGGGCCGTTTAATGAAAATTCATTTTTTTCCATCGTGCTACATCGAGAAATACGGCATTAAACTACTACTCATACCATAAAAGGTTTCTTATATACACCGTCCTAATAAAGACGTATTAATACTATCACGGTATATGATACAAATATGTCGAATCTTCCTCCTTTAATCTTTCCATCACGCTCTCATACTCGCTCGCATTTACATTTACAACATATACACGTACATTCGCAATTGTCACGTCACGACACAAATTCTTATTCATTCTAATGCGCATAAAATGATTATTTACAAATTTATCAAGATCGAAAACGGAATGAAAGATTCGCGTATTTGCGATTCCTCTTCCCTCCAATACTCGCAAACAATCTCTACGAATGATACTACGCGATCATACTGTATGCAACACACGTCCTGCCGCTAAACTATTTCAATTTTTACGGCGGGATTACAAAATTCTCATAACATTGACAACGCGTAGGATAAATCTCTCCTTCGCTTCGTCGGCTACTCAAATTTTTGGATTCTGTATTCCTAGATCTTTGGATTATTCTACTCTCTCGATATTTACATACAATTTGCAGGCTTCTTAGTCTCTCGCGAATCTTACATGCGTAAATTTTGAATGCGTACAAGTTTTCGAAATCTCTCGTCGACGATATACGTTCGCGCATAATATTAATAAAACACGTGTGTACACAGAAAAAATTACATTTATATATCGTAAATATCTAATGCGTTATGCACGGTCCTCTCCATTAACGATAGGCGCTGGGGATAGTTCTTTGGTTGCGCCTGAATGTCGGGGGAAACATGAACATTAAGAACATAGAACACGCTTGGCAAACTTGCGACGTATCATTCTCTGCTATTTCCATCCATGTTTCGCGATACAGAATTAAATGACACTTATCACGAATTAAAAGATAACTAACAAATCGAGAAGAAGCTTGAATCTGAGTGGCGTGTCTTATTTTTGAGGATTTGAAGCTAATAATAAATTTCCGGCACTTTACAAAAATTTGATTTATAAAAATATACATAAGAGGTTTATTGTACTTAGGATTATGCCCGGAATAAATAATAGTCGTTATACATAAAGTAAAATACATAAATAATAGGTTATATAATATATAAGTTAATAAATAGGACAGATAACATGTCCAAACATGAAAAGGATATCTGAAAGGAAGATAATATAGTAAGGAATATATGTATAATGCAAAATAAAGAGAATGAATAGATAAAGTTTAAAGAAATACGGTACACGATAACGAATTATACTATAAAATAATATCCATCGAAGAAGCATATTATTTTACAATATATTATAATTTTTTGCTATATTAAAAAGTCCATATGATTAACAGCAAGTTGGTTATATGTATTAAGTAATAAAAGAAAAATTTATATAATAATTATTAATATGTAATAATTATTAATATATTAACATGTTGTATTCATAATTATTAATATTATATTAATAATTACTAATACATATATTACATATTGTTAATATATAATAATTATTAACATATAAATAATTATTAACATGTAATAATTATTAACATATAAATAATAAAAGAAAAATTTATAATAATTATTAACATAATATGTAACATATAAAAGACATTTATATATGTTAAATATTGTGTTTTTAGAAATAGCGATATGCGAGTATTATTTTATATATATATATTTTACATATATATATAAAAATATAAATATAAAAAAATAATTTTTATTAAATAATCTTTAAACATAATTATTATATAACAAAATAATTAATGTAAATCAAAGGAACTCTGAAACATTTGCTTTATTAACTTACCGCCACTAGATCCAGCACCGGTTCGAGATAATTCAAAGGATGATTTATGGATATGTATATTATATGGAATATAATATATAAATCATTGATATATTAAAAATCACATCCTGGAAGAAATAAAAGTAATGTTTGAAAGATTCCTTTATATATTCCTCTTTATAATCATTAAACAATTATAAGTTAAATTTATCTAGTAAGGATGAGAGAAAAGAAAAATACTTTTATTAACATGGTTAAAATAAATTCACAGTGCTTTATTTAATATCCGTTGCACAAAATTCAATATTTGTAATTGTTATATGCTTACATATTATATTAAAATGACAATACCAATATTTTAAACATGGAACATAATTTAATCGTGTTATATAAATGTATTATATGTACTTCAGCCGCGTTTAAAATACTCCATATATCATCATTTTAATCCAACTTCCGCCACTCGTATGTAAGCATATAACAGCTGCGAAGAAGTGTCATTCGACAAAGTGTCACTTTACTTCCACATCGCGTTATCCGAATCTTTTGCAACAATCAAACGTGCTCTCGGCTATCGGGATACTTCCGATTCCGGTTCCACGATCACAGACAAATGGAGGAGGAACGACGCCGTGGTCGACGAGTCGGATCGCTAATTGGGGGTGGACGGGCGTGTCCGCAGCGGCGGGGGTGTACTGGCCGCCGGCGGATAGGGCGCGTACCTGACTGTGGGAGAGGATCGTCGCGAGATCATCGCGACTGGGGGTGGTTGCCAGGGCCACGGCAACGCCGCCGGATACGGGAAGCCGGCGGCGACGGCGGCGGCGGTGGAATAGGGCGAGGGTGAGCCGGCGGCACCCCTGGCGCCGTACAAAAGCGCCGTCGATGGCGACAGCCAGGGCGACAACGCGTTCTCGTTTAATTGTTGCTGCTGCTGCGCGGATGACTGGTGGTGCTGCGACTGCGTCTGCTGCTGCTGCTGCTGCGGCTGCTGGACACCGAGTGCCGCGACCACCGCCGCTGGCGACGACGACATGGCGAGGTGCTCGTAGAGCCTCATCGGGGCGACGCCGCATCTCACCAACTGCTGCTCCATAAGGTCCATGGGGTCTCTGGAATCGTCAGGAAGAAGGAGATAGCGAGTTAAATATCGAAAAATTTGTGTTCATATAAAATCTAGAACGAATCTCCCCGATTCTCAATTTTTTTTACACAAATGATTAGCTCTTCCTCTCTCTGGAAATATTTTTTCCTTTGGACGTATATTGTAACACTTGTTTATTTGAAATCTGGAATACGAATCTTCTGGGAATCAGCGCTCGTTCGACATCAGAATTAGATGGGGAGGTCCACGCTATTGTGCCAAGAGGTCGCAATCCTACGCGAGACCGGCGGGGGTCGAGCAAATAAATCCTCTGGAGCCGCGGGAACAGCGAGACAGCGAGATAAAATCGTCCATCCTTAAGGCGAGAGAGGCGGCTCTCGCCGGCCGGCTGATTAATCGATCGACGTTATCGGCATTAATAGCACTTAAAAGGGAGTAAATCAATGAGATTCCTTTATGAGCCGAGTCGAGATAGACAAAGAGAGAATGGCGGATAATTAAGACAGGCTTTTCTCTCATAGAGACGTACGAATGAGGGAGGGTGGAGGAGACGGAGGGGAAACGATGATCGCGAGAACCTTCTTCTCTCCCCCTTCTTCTTCCCCCCTCCCCCCTCTCTCCGCAACAAACGTGATGGATGATTTCGTGCGTTAGGCGCGAGCTTAATTAGGGTTAATTACGGACGATTGTGCGCGGACGCGCCTTCGTTGCTTCGTTACTATCGCGGCAGAAACGCTAACGAGCGGATTATTGGCCGATCGCGAATGAAAACGCGTCGCGAATGACGAGAGGATCATTCTGCATTTATCTCCTTTTTCACGCCGACGATAATTAACGACGAAGTCTCATTGAGCGCGGAATCACTTCGACGAGTCACTTCCTACTTTCATGATTACGCGCGGGAGCGGCGTTTAAGGATACGCGGATTATCGGCTAGTCTATCTCAATTATTAAGACTTCATTACGATATCGCAAATCCGTGGCGAGATAGAGACTTCTTAATTACTTTCGATTTCAAGCCTGCCGAGGTAAGATCGATTGCGCAAAGCGCGACCGAACAAGCGAAACAGAATGCTTGATGGATTCTTGACACGGCCTGAAGAAGTCCTACAGTCGTTTTCCGCTATTTAAAGTCAACGAGAATCGTTTTAACGTTAGAAAACCGAGGTCCGGATTTATAGACATTACAGGAATTTCACATCTCAAAAGCGCATATGTGTGAGAGAGAGAAAAAAAATGTCATATTTTATATTAATTCTATATATGTGTTTATTTCCTATATTTTAAATTTTATATCTTTTTGTCTGAGAAGCTTTTTGCTGTTAATTTTCATTCTGGATATTAAAAAAAGAGATTTTTCCCATAAATAAATAAAAAAATAAATAAATATTTTGAAATGGACATGGGTCACAATAATTACAATATCGATAGTCATTAGAAATCAACTAATGCAGTACTCAATTGAACAGCAGAATTATTATTTGTACGAAATTTTACTTAAGGTTCAAGAGATTAAAATAATGGCATGCACTTTGTAATTAAATTTTTTCAAAATCAATGTATGCATATTATGTGTGTGCTGATATTATTATATATACTTGTATATTATAAAAGAAGATAGAATTAAAAAATTTTGTTTAAACTTTTAATGAAATTTTTAAAGAGAACTATAAAAAACCTATATGTGTGTATATATGATTCAAAATATTATATCAAATAAAAACAAATAGCTTATACATTGATGAAAAGAAAATTTATAATTAACATACTTATAATAAAAATATAATACATTTAAAATTACGCAGCAAAAATTTTCATATGTATCTTTAGATATCCTTTCAGATTTGAAAGTTTTTATTATGTGTGTTGACCTCGTTGTCTGTTTCATTTTAAATCTTAAGATGAAGGCAGCCATCGATAGATGACTGCCAGTTCTTCGCGCTTCTCGGAAGCCAAGTGGTTATAAGAGATAACCTGATACACTAGTATCCTAGCCGGATAATTTGAGCATGGGCCGCCCACGAATGATATCCCCTATCGATCATTCAGTTCCGCGAACCGACATCGTGATATCCGAAGACGCCTTTCGCAACCGCCGTTCAATAACTCAGCATTTCGTGCATGAAATAATTTAGGAGCATACATAGTAAAAAGATATATCCGGATATATCTGTTCCCACCCACATTTAGATCATGTCTTTCATTGAGGAAAGGGGGTGAAAGGGAAATGTATTCTTATACGAATATGAATTTTTAAATTTTTACAAGAAGTAGTAGTTGTAAAAGATTTATTCAACACAATTTAATTTATTCACAGATAAAAATATTAAAAAGAAAAATATTTAAGATGATCTTGTATAATATCGAACACCTCTCACATTAAGATTCATCGTTATAAAATCTAAAAATGCAAGTAATTGTGATATGTAATTCCAATGTCGCCCTTAAAATAAACCTTCAATGAACTGACTTTCAAGAAAACGCTCGGAATTACACCATGCACAGTGAACAAATGAACAATCTGAAGGGAAATAATAATTATTTTATTAGATTAATTTTTAATTAAAATTATATATTAAGGATCAAAAGATTATGTGTAATTGCATTATATTAAGATATCAAATAGCACTCTTCAACATCTCTATATTATTATTAATATGATTAATATAATAAAATTATATTCATATATTTGATTATGTAGAATAAAATTGATTATGAAGAATTTAGAATTTTGATTATATAGAATATTACTTAGTAATTAATAATTAATAATATCTGGAAGAAATTACTCTGCACATATTAAAATACATTTATTATAATATAGAAGCTTTAGACAATTATTTAATAACAATTAGTAGCTATAAAATTATTACATATTAATTAAATATTTATCTAAATAAAAATTATTTCCCTTCAAATCGTTTACTCGTTAAACTGATAATCGCGTATAAATGAAAGTAAAATGTATGAAATAAATTTGTGTGAGTAACTGAATTGAGACATAAATCACTACGCGATAAGAAAGTCGATGACAGATGGACATGTAAATAAACATGTTATTTCGTATCAAAATTGCGAAAAAAGTATCGGTATGTTTTGTATTAGTTTTTATTTACGTTTACCGAGTTCGGGGAAGCCAAGCTGCTCGCTCAAGCGTGCCTTATTAGGAATTAAAGATAACGCAAGAAGGAAGGAGAAAGAGTACGAAGGAGTGAGAAGGATGCGAAGAGAAAAACCAATAAGATATGATGTTTCGCGAGTCAATAAAATCCAAGTTTTTTATTGTCTCAATCGAGCGATTATGGGAAAATTGGATGATAATTATTATGATTATTGACCATCTTTCGCGCGAGATGATTCCATTTAATTTAAAATTATTATTTTACTCGTTAATTAGGCCAGCTGAAACATGCCGTTGTGTGGGCTCGATATCAAGTTGAATATTTAATTATGCATTAATTGAGAGAATCTAATATCGTTTTCTTCGTAAAATTAGTTTCTTACTTAAATGCATTACAATGCATTACTCTGATTATATATATGATTTCATGTTAAATAAATTTAAGCTAGTAGCATTGGAAATTAGGAAAACTTTTTTTGAATTATTGTTTCTTTTTAAATTGATTAGTGTTATTTTAATTTAATGATTCACGTAGAATATTCCAGCTGCATATTTCAGCCAGACTTTTAGAAACAATTTAATTTTTTATAAGTAATTTCTTACGGTAAATTCAAATCCCTAAATCAGATATGCTTAATGGCAAATAAAAATTTTCTGATTGCACAGATTTCTGTCTCTCGATTCATTTAAACATTATTTTTGTTAGCTTTTTTTGAATCTTTGTTATTATATTTTGAGTCTATTATAATTATTTGTGCACCACAAATTTGTAAAAGGATTTCTTTCCCTATTTAAATAAATAAATTTAGAAAATCCAGGACATTGAGAATAAATTGCAAGATACATATCGACAAGTCATAGATCGACAAGTCTCTTAAAAATTTTCAATTTTTCGATCGATGTGGATTAATTATACACATTACAGAAGCCTGCTTCTTGCCATTTCTATCCTTATTTCAAATAACACGTAATAAATTTAATTTCCATACAACTATTTGTCCATTAATTTTTATACAAGTATATAACAAATTCTAATGTTAAAAACATAATATATTTAATGTTTCGCATTGCAAATTGATTACATGCGAATGCATTGCGATTACATACGTCACTTTTATTCCTTGATCGAATAATCAAAATTATATTGGAAAATAATAACAACACATATCCAATTGAAAAATCGCCTTCACATTTTCTAAACGGATCACAAATAATGTAACATTTTCGTTAAAAATTAAACAAGTTCTACTTATGATATTGTATTTATTGTTCAATTAATTAAATTAGTGAAATATTGTATTGCAATATTTATGATATTCGGTAATGATTTTTCATCAGATATTTCTTTAAAAATATGTTGTTTTAAATTTATCTTATATATGATATTATAAGACGCATTTTAAATTATTATATGATTATAGCAACTATTATTAATTTATTCTTTCAAAATTTCATGACATGAATAGAATTTGCTATATAATGTGTATAAAAGCTAATGGACAAATAGTTGTATGGAAATTAAAATTATTATGTATTATTTGGAATAAGAATAGAGACAAGAAGCAGGCTTCTTAGTAACGTATAGTAATTAATCCACATCGATCGAAAAATTGGAAATTTTTAAGAGACTTGTCGATTTATGAATATGTATCTTGTCATTTTATTTACTTTAGTGATATACTTATAATTGAGACTGTCAATGGCAAGTCACTTTCAATAACTTTCAATACTGATTCCATTGAAGAGAATGGAAAATGATTAGTTAATCAGCTTATACAGGGCAATCGTCACTCGTGGAATATTCAGAGCGAGCATAAAGCACTTTATCATCTGGCGCGACCAATGTCGTCGGGCCTGTACAATTCAATCCCGACCGGGTTCTGTAA